TGTGTGTGTGTGTGTGTGTGTGTGTGTGTGTGTGTGTGTGTGTGTGTGTGTGTGTGTGTGTGTGTGTATGTAAACCTCTTGTAACTCTTGAACGACTTGACCGATTTTATCGTGGTTGGTGCTATTCGAAAGGACTTCACTAAACTTAGATTTCCTGAAAATTTGAACCGATTCGGACCCGTAGATTTCGAGAAAATGCAAAAAAAGTGAAAAGAAAGTGAAAAAAAGTTGTTTTTTTTTTTATTTTTTTTAAATATCTCTGAATTGGCTGAACCGATCGGTCTCAAAAACTAATCAGCTCTTAACCTTGAAAACCCCCATCGATCGCCACCAAAAACGTGAGAATCGGTTGATGCGTTCGTGAGATATCGTTGTCAAAAAAAATCGAAAAAAGTGTTTTTTTGTAATAACTTCGAAATTCATGGCTCGATCGATTTAAACTTGAAAATTTTTTATGGGGCTTCAAAAACTGCGTCGATTGCTGTCAACCGCATGAAAATCGCTTCATTTATTCAAAAGTTATTGCCGTTTGAAAATTAAAAAAATAGTGTCTTTAAACTGCTATTAGAGTTTTGAGCTCGAAGAGCTCAAATTGACACAAAAATAATATTTTTGAGCTCGAAAAGCTCAAAAACGTAATGTGTAGTTTGAATCGTTTAAGTACAAAATGAGCGGGAAGTTGCAGGGATGGCCTTTAGGGTGAACCGTTTTTTTAATTTTTTTTTTTAGTTAATTGTTAATAACTTTTGTAATTTTTACTTGCGGAACTTCATTGTTTTCCGAAAACCATCTAGATTCTATTCTGAATCGAATGACACCTCAATTATAATTTTCGGAGACTGCAGAAAAAAGTTGACCAAAAAGGCACTTGTTGACGAGACTAAATTTTAAGCCTAAACTTCGATTCAATAATATTTTTATTGCTGGCTTTATGGTTGTGAAAAAAGAGCCTAGTCCAGAATTAATGAATTCATTTATGGAAACTTTTGTTTAACAAATTACGAAGTTAAATGCAAATGGATTTAGCTTAGTGGATAACCATCAAGAAATGGAAAAAGAAAAAAATCAAAGTCATCGTTCCTAACTTCACTGCTGATTCTGTTGCTCGAGCTCTTTGTCAAAACAGAGTTAAACATAGTGGTTATTTTGCTTGCAGTTACTGCTATATCATGGGATAAACTATTGATGGTGCAAGACATTTTCCATTCAGTGGTGATATTGAAGATCTCAGAACCTATGAATCACACATGAAAGATGTGGATAAAAGCATTGCGAAAAAATCAACGCTAGAATGTCGTGGAATCAAAGGACTATCTGCATTATCAACTTTACCCAACTTTGACATGGTATGGAGCTTTCCTTTTGATAGCATGCATACTTGGGATTTAGGTGTTACAAAATTCTTATGGGAATTGATAATAAAAGGCTTAGATAAAGATGAAAAAGAAAGAATTAATCAAGTGATCAAAATGACTAAACCACCTCGGTGTTACTAGCTGACTTTACGAATTTTAAAGCGAAAGATTTCAATGCTCTTTTATTGTATTATAGTTATGGCCAGGGACTTCGTATGGAAGGGGTAACGCACGAGCATTTGTTTTAATCAATTGTTTTACCCCTTCCATACGAAGTCCCTGGTCCTAATTATAGTATTACTATTGGGATAGATTTACTTTGCGACGACATTATGTATCTTATTGCGTTATTATCAAAAAGTTTGTTTATTTTATCCAAACATCATATAACAGAAGACGAGTTGGATAACTGTGAAGAAATGTTAATTATATTTGTAGGTAACGTTCAGAACTTTTTTGGGGAGACTGCAATGAGATTTAATGTTCATTTGCTATTACACGCAGTTGAATTTGTTCGTAAAAGTGGCCCATTGTGGGCAAATTACGCATATCCTCACGAAAGTAACATTCATTTTTTAAAAATGCTTATTAACGGTGCTAAAGGTGTTGAACTTTAGATTATAAAGAAATCAATCAACAAAAGGACTTATAAAATGGAGTTTGAGTAGATAAACAGGGGGACTTTACCCCCTCGGTAAAACAGATTGTGGGTTCTGGTCCGAACTATCTACCGACGGATGGTAAGCGATATTTGTGATTTCGGTAGGTATCTGTTTTGCCAGCGGTCGGTAATTTACCACCGGTCGATAATGTACTACCTTTTTGTCTGCTGTCGGTGTTGGGGGGGGGGGTAAGGCAGCCATTTTCTAGCCGATGTCCGCCATTTCTGGCCGACTCCGCCTCTGCCCTTTATTACTATTTTGCAATCGCAATGACGCCTTAACTTTTGTGGAAAAAAGGGGGGAATTCCACCATTTTTTTTGGCTAACTTCGTCACAACTATTCAATTTATAAATCTTCATTTGGTTAGTGTATCGTGAGAGCTTCAAGTACAACTTTTAAACCATGGAAATAGATAATTTGTGTGAACAAGAAATTGCATTTTTACGGAATAATCACCCTTTCTGTGAGGATTTTGATGATCTCATAGAAAGATTTTTTGGTGATGTTCCTCCTGAAGATATTGGTAAATTTGTAAACTGGATAATTACATTGGAGAAAAACTCTAAAATTTTCAAAAGTCTCTTTGCCGATACATCATACATAAATTGTGCTGATAAACAGAATTTAGCAAAAAAACTCTTGGAAATAAATGAAAATGCTGAAAAACTTGAAAAGTTTTGCGAAGATTTTGATGATTTAATTGATAGTGTTTTTTACAACAAATCTTGTGAGTATATTGAAAAATTTATAAATGATGTCCTTACATTAAAAAAAAACTTTGAAGTTATTAATAATGTACGCATGGGAATATTATATTCAAATTGTGCTGATTAACAAAATTTAATAAAAAAACTATTAGAATTAACTGAAAAGTTCCAAAAACTCGAAGAGCGAATGAAGTAAACATCTAAAAAATCATGAAATCATCAATCAAAATTTTGAATCATACAAAAAATCTCAAAGTTATTCATTTAAGCAATTTCCTTCATAACACTTTGCAGAAGAATAGAATAATATAAAAGACTGGTTTTTAAAAAAAATATTCAGTATTGTTTTTGTGACTGACTAAAATTCATCTACCTTTTTGTAATAAATGGCTGGAGAAATTATTGTTGATATTCAAGGCTTCAAAATGCCTAACAATTGTTTTGTGGTGAAAGAGCTTGCAGCAATTAGTGTAAATAAAACATTAGATCATTCAAATGTACTATCTGTTAAAATTTTCAAACCACCTTGTAATTGGAGCGGGCTACCTAATAACTATAAACACATGAACTTATGGCTGATACGTAAGCATCATGGTATACCATGGGATAAAGGAGTCATACCTTATAATTGTCTCGAAGAAGTTCTCAATTTCATTGTGAGAGATTACGAATACATTTACGTCAAAGGCTACGAAAAAAAAAATGGATTCAGAGTATTTGTAGTTTAACTAAACAAGTCATTAATCTTGAATCATTAGGATGTCCATCACTCAGAAGCTTACCGAAAATTACTCATTTTATCCAACATCCAGAACTTGAACATAGTGATATCATATACGATGATTATCACTGTGCATTGGAAAATGTTCAGCGTTTGAAAATTTGGTTTATGGAGAATTATTTATATTTCATTTAACTTTTGTCACAACAATTTATTAGCGTTTTCAAATAAATTGATGTATTATGATTATGAATAAAAAAAGTTGAATACAACTCGAACCGTTTGTTTTCTTTTATACAGTTCCTAGAGAATAGCTTTATCATACATACTTAACACACAAAAAAAAAAAAAATGCATGATCTCATACAATTAAAACCGCAAACATTATTGTTGATGTCAAATATTTACAAGAGTAATGTTATTATTTAAAAAAAGGAGTTAGACTTATACTTCCGGTCTATAATTTGACTCCATTGAGAAAGCTGTAACCTTCGAAAAAATGTTACGCATTTTATTTAATCGAAAAACATGAGAAAAAAATTGCCTTACGATTCATTGCGGTAACTTTTGAAAACAAGTTTTTATTGATGTAACTGTATATCTATGTAAATAAAAATTGTTGAAAAATATAAATTAAACAATATTGCACAATACTAAAAATTTTGTAAAAAACATTTTTTTTTTTTTACAAAAAATGTTGCATTTAGTAAAAAATATGAAGTTCTCAAAATTTTTCCAAAAGGTTCGATAATTAGAATTTCGTATTGAGACGCTTAGGATTATAAAAATTGATGTTAGGAATTTTTAGGAAAATTAAATTTAGGCCGGTGGCTAATTTAATTTAAATGAATTTAATCTGGGATTTATTTATTTGTTAAGAAAATTTAGTTGGTGAATTTGATAAAGATTATGGGAATTATTTATTTGTTAAGAAAATTTACTTGGTGAATTTGATAAAGATTATTGAGTAGAGATGGGAAATTTTAGTGATTTATCGAGTTCTGTAAAATTTATTAGTTAGAAATTTTAACAGGAAAATGAATTAATATAGAAATTTTTGTGATTAATTAATGTAAGAAGAATTATTTGCAATTAGACAAATGCTGGCGTTGAATTTAGAAGTTATGATAGTATTGTAAGTTTGAAGAATTGAATATAGGCCGGTGGCTAAATTTAAGTATGTTAATTGATTTAGAGAAGTGCTAAATGAGCTGATTGAATAATTGACTGAATTTAAGGAAAATTATGAGAGATTTTGATAAGGAAATTTAGAAATTAAGTAAATTTAGTTAATTTGGAAATTAAATTTAATTAAGAAAATTAGTCGAAATTTTATTTAAGAAGAATTTTGAAATAAAGTTAGTTAGTAAGAATTTTATAAGATATTAAATTTAGTAAAACCGAATGAGATGCGTAGAGTTTGCTGAAGATTTGTGAATTATAATAAGATTAAAATCCCGGGATTTAGTTTGTTAATGATTTAGAAAATCGAATAATTAAGGAGTTTTATTTGGAAAATTATGTTGTTAGTTATTCCGTCAGTTGGACGAGGGTTTGGAAAATTAAGAATCTAGATGCGCAATGGTCTATGATTGAATTAGGAATTTAAGAAGATAGATGCGTAATGGTCTATAATTGAATTTAAAGTTTAAGAAGATAGATGCGTAATGATCTATGTTTTAACAGAATTTAAGGATATTTAGTTTATAAGGATTTTTGGCAACTGCCTGTGTGAGGAAGCGTTTCTCGAAAATTTATATTTAGATTTGAACTGTGAAACAGTTTGTTATTTTGTAAATTTTCAAAATTTATTTTATTGTTCAATAAATTTGATTAACTGGATAAAATTGTCCTCAGTATTTATTTTACAGCCTTGTCTCAACTTCTCACGACCCGACTTTCCTGCTCGTGCTCGTCCGGTTTCTGGGACACCGTGAAATAAATCCCAGTGGCGCCCTTTTCATAAGGAGAGGGGTGACCAACCCGTTACAGTGTGTGTGTGTGTGTGTGTGTGTGTGTGTGTGTGTGTGTGTGTGTGTGTGTGTGTGTGTGTGTTTTTTTTCTTTTTCCCTTAGGGGGGGAATCCTTTTACGGATTCTAGGCATAGATGTTGGCCCGGATATGTGGCGACTCGACGTAGCGTCATACTAAAACTCGACGCTGACGCCCCTACCCACTAAACCCTAAACCCCTTTCCTCTTTCCTCTAATCCCTCATGGAAACCGCCGTCAGGCATTACTTCGTGAGGGGAGGATCTAGCTACTGCTCTTCCTTCTGGTGGCTAAGGTGTTAACTACCGTCCTTCTAT